AAAAAGTTAAATTATGTACTTAGACACAATTAATTTCAAAAATTTATTATAAATTTTAATTTTCCTAAATTTTAAGTTTTTATTTTAATATGTGGGATTTTTTTCTAAAAATTTTTTAGGAAAATTATTTACAATAAAATTTTATTCAAGTCTTTCTATATTTTAAGTAATTTTTTTTATAAAACATTATCTCTTATGTATTTTTTTTATAATTAAGTCCAATTTCATCTATCGACATCCAAAGGTCCATTTAGATGGACTAGCAATGCACTACGTGCGTTGCATGTTAATAATTTTCGTATATAAAAATTGATATGATATATTAGTATATGTGTACCTGAATTAAATATTAAATTTACCAGACTTAATTTTTCATTACTCATATTCTATTATAGGATTATAAAAACTTAGTATATTTCTAAAATTCGTTATTCTAACTATACAAAAAAAGATACAAAAAAATAGATAAAGTTCTTCTTTTTTTTAGAATCTTGTGATTGAGAGTGATTTTTTAGTAATGTGTGTAAACCCCACTCTTTTATCTTTGTATATGTATGTAGGTTTATGTAACAAATTATTATTTATTTTGGAAATGTTAATATAGAAATTTGAGAAAATAGTAGTTAAAACTTAGTTTAGCTTGCAAATATATGAAATCGTTGTAATAGAACTTGTACCAACTAGGTTTTATGTACAAAAACATGTTTGATAAGCTTGGGTTGGATTTGAAAAGGTTTGGAATGAGTTTGAAATGAAAAATAGAGGAAATAGACAAATTTGAACAGGACCTACCGATAGTACGTTGTCCAGTGGATCCGAACTACCGGTAGTCAACAGGTAGTAAATGTCCAATAGATCCGAACTACCAGTAGTCAACAGGTAGTAAATGTTCAATAGATCCGAACTACCGATAGTCAACAAGTAGTAAAGGTCTGGTAGATCCGAACTACCGGTACCTCAACCGGTAGTACGTTGTCTCGTAGATCTGAACTACCGGTAGCCCAATACGAACTACCGATAGACCGTTAAAAAGTCGGGATTTTTATGTTTTAAAACTCCATTTTCACTCCATTTACTCTCATTCTTTCACACCACTCTCACCCCACACCTCTTAGAACCCTAATAGAAAAACTTAGAGAGGAAGAGAGAAAGGGAAAACAAGAGTTCTAAGGGTGATTAAAGATCAAATCTTTTTTGTCCTTCACACCAAAGCCAAGGAGAAAGGTAAGGGGTTTTCTTCCATTCTTATCCATTGATGCTAGGGCTAATATATATGTATTCTTTGACTCTAAATCTTAAATATTTGCTATGAAATCATCTTTTCTTGGTCTTCTTGCAATTATTATCATGTTTTACACAAGTTAGGGTTGAATACCCATGAAATCTCTTTTCTTGCTTTAAAACTCTAGTTTTTGGAGAGTGATGGATTTTCTTTTTAAATTCTTCATTTATTATTGATTTCGAAACTATAGTGTTTTGTGTTGAGTAATAAAATGATGTTGTTGTGATCTCTTGTATTTTTCTTAATTGATTTTGGAATTGTCACATGATAAATTTAGAAATTTTTGAGTATACTTGTAAATTGAGAGATTGAGTTTGGTATTATATCTCTCATGAGTGTGGGAGGACCATGGGTGGCCTTTGACGAGATATCGTAGAGTGGGTAGATGTTATTCATACTTTGTGCGAGTTTAAACTTTTCCTAGCACTCGTAGTGGGGTTAGTACTTTGGTAAGACTAAACCGTTATTACTCACGGGTATCGAGGCGGAGGGTTAGTCTACTAATGCCTGGGTTGGATACGTCACTGCCATTGGTATGATATATGCCACTTCTAAAGGTTGGATATCTTTGAGAAGATTTAGGTGTGTGTGTGTGGGCTAGATGTTACTCAATGCGTCGATTCAGGTGGATGTCTTACATCATGGTTGAGATACATGTATATATTGTTGTGAAATGTTCAAGTTATGAATTATTGTTTATTCTACTATAAATGATTTCTACAAGAATCTTGGGAAATATGAGATTCCGCAAGAACTTGTGAGAAACAGTTTATGGTGAAATGAATTATTAATTGTATATTGAGTTCTTTTATTCATTAAATTATTGTTATTATTTAAACTTGAGATATGTTTCAAATGTCTCTGTTTTCTTCAAAAGTTATATATGTTATTTGTAAAATGAGACCGACCATTTTATATGCTTTTCTAAACCTTGTTCGAACTTGAGAGAAATATTGCTACAGAGCTTAGTGCTCACCCTCTACAAACTATATTTTTCAGATTATGTACTGGAGGAGGAGTTGAGAGTTGATGAACCGGAACACTAGGAGACTCCGATAGAAGGGAACGTGAATCCTAGGTGGACGTTTAGAGTGACACTTTCTTTTGTTCTAGACTAGGATATTTATTGTGAACATTGTAAAATCTAGTTTTTCTTTTGTTATTCCACTGCGCTATGTTAGTTAAATTTTTGGGTTGTAAATGTCATGATTGAACATATTCTTTTGGATAATGTTGTAAATTTTATGGATGAAAAATAAAGTCTTATTTATTTATGGATCATATTAGTATTCTCATGATGTGAATGATTTATAGATTGTAATGTCGTCCAAGGTAGGTTTTGGGGCGTTAAAATATTTGAGAAATTAATTTTTTTGAAATTCATTCGATTAGGATTTTATTTATAATTCATTGAATAAAATAAAGGTAATTGTCAATATAGTACTTAATTATATTGAAATTTTACTGTAATTAAGAATTAGTTAGATCAATTAGATTAAGATTTAATATAATACTCTGTAATATATAGTTTAAAACATATCAGAATTTTAAAAAATTCAAGTTTTACTTAAGAATACACTACAAATTATTTTCAAAAAAAATCTTAATACAACTTAAAAAGTTCATTGCAAACTAAAAAATTATATTGATGAAGTATAAATTAATTTTAAAAAATTATATATATATATATAATTATTTTTTTATCTTAGAAATAAAAAGGGTTAAAATTTTTAAATAAAAAAAATAAATATATATGCGGATAATGTTATATTTGCATATAAGATGAGTAATATCAGGTTGATAAATTTTTTGATTGTTTTTTGAACACTTTATTGAAAATATAATGATACATATTTTTTAAAGATAATATTGTTAATCAAAAATTTTCATTGAAATTGATATTTATATAGAGAGAATAGATAATGAAAAAAGAAGTCAGAGGTAATTTAGAGACTAGCAATACACGACATGCGTTGCACGTAAATAAATTTAAATAATATATTTTTATAAAAAATATGAATTATATATGTAATTAAATTAAATATTAAATTAAAATAAAAATAATTAATTTATATTTTAGTTGTTACTAAATTTAATTATATAATTTTTATTTTTTAAAATAGATTGATTAAATTGCTTATAATACTATTATATTATTGCATAGCAAAAAATAAAAATATAATATATATTTGACCATGAAATTCATATTTGTATAATAATTTAACATATATATATATATATATGATTTTACTTCTTCATATATAAATAGAAAATTATATGTAACTGTACAACTAATAAATGAATTCAAAAGAATTTAGAAGTTCTTATAAAAGATTTCAAAATAAGTTAAACGTCAAATAAGAGTAAAAACAAAAAATTAAATGAAAGTATATATATTATTGGATATAATTGACTTTATTATAATAATTAGGGTTAAAATATAAAATTAAAAGTTTTTCATTTACTAATATATCTAGAAAATTGTATGTATTTGTACTACTAATAAATGAGTTTAAAAGAATTTAAAATTTCTTATAAAAGAGTCTAAAACAAGTTAAAAGTTAAATATGAGGAAAAAATAAAAATTAGATGAAAGTATAATATTGGTGGATATAATTGACTTTATTATAATAATTAGAGTTAAAATAGGAAATAAACCTTTTTTTTTTCCAGATGCTGACATTTATAAGTAGTATATATAAATCAAAAGTTTTTTTGTAGATGCTGATATTTATAAGTAGAATAAATTTAAATATGATGACGCACAAAATAGGCTAATGCAAGATCAATAATCGAGTGTGTGATAAGATATAATTAATGGATAATTAATAAAACAATCAATGATAGTAATGTAAATATTGAGTCAACACACATATATATAGTATTTGGCTCGGGTGACCTACTCCACTCTTTGGGAAACGACAACGGTAGTCGGGAGATTTTTATTGATGAAATAAGGTGAACGAGGGAGAGAGTGATGGTTAGTTTCGGGAGAGATATAATAGTTACGAGAGAGAAAAGCTATGTATGTGTAAAGAGGTGTTGAAGTAGAGTTTAATGTGTCTTCTCATGCAGAGAGAACTTACAATTCATATACATTAAGCGCTTAAATCGGGGCAAAGTCACTAGCTTTTCAACAAGGATAACTACAAAAGGTAAATACAATTAAAGATTATCTTGATCTTCGAGAGTGAGTATCTCGATAATTGCTTCCTACGTGTTTTAATTTCTTGGACTCCTTGAATTTTGGGTTGAGTCGAATTTACGAACTGAACTTGACCGGTTAGATTTGGGCTCATCAAAATTAATAAGAAGATAATAAATAATTTAGATATTTAATTATGAAAGGATAAAATGAGTTTTATACTTTTTTATAAGAGTAAAATATAGAATTAAATTTTTTTTCAGATATTTTTATTAGTAATATAAATATAGATATAAATAGATATAAATATTGATCTAGCTGTAAATATAGATATAGATATTGACATCGATAGACACACACGTTGTGAAACAAATGTTGAGTTGAGTACACGTTGGAGATATTGTTGCCAATGCCCCACATCAGCTTGAACATATACAACCAAACTCCATAGACTTCCAGAATATATTTGGATCTTCTCTCTCAAAACTGAAAGTCTGAAATTATTCCTTGCTCACCTCACCTCAGTACTTTTCTCTCTCCAACATCATAGACTTGAGAGCGTAGTCTACGAAGATGGGATTGGAGAGCGTGGGTGGATTGGCGATAAAAATAATTCTCACCAAGTTGGGCCCAACAGAATCGGCGTCGGTGGCCTGCGTGAGCAAGGGATTTAGGGTTTGGGCCTCCGACGACTCTCTCTGGTCCATTTTCTGTGCCAATGATCTCGACCTCTCTTCTCCTCTGGACCATCTCGGAAACCCTGTCTCATCTTTCAAGGTACATAAACCAATTATACATCCATATACATTGCAATTTCTATCAAGAGTTGATGATGCCTGATCTATTTTATTGATATGATTTTGGAGTATTTGGTTGCTTAGAAAATGTAGAGATGAAGAAGAAATGAAATGAAATGAAATACATTGAAATGAAGTGTTATTGTTATATATGATTAAGAATGAGGAGAATTGTTGAGAATTCTATCTGAATTCTGGGAAATTAGGGACAGTTTTTTTTTTTTTTTAAAATGATGTCTGTGGGTTGAGGGGCTGGGGTAGGCACTGGAATCAACTATAGAAAATAGATTTAATTCCCTCAGTTCGAATTGTTGAAAATTGAAGTACAAAATTTATTATCAAATCAACTGAATGGAAATTTTATTATGTTCATAAAATAATTAAAATGTTAGAGTCCACGAAGCGTATAGCATAAAGATTTTAAACAACAAAGCAGTAGACATACAAATGACATTGATTAGACGTCCAACTAAGACTGTAGATATAAGAAACAATGAATGTATTTTTTGAAATATAATTACTTGTGAGCAAAATACCTCAAAGCATTGCATTCCCTATTATTTGTGGGATGTATTTTCTTGTAGTTTTAGATTTTTTTTCTTTTGCCTTTTATCCTCCATCCTTTACTCTGTGATTGCGAAATAGAACCTTGGTTTTGTTTCACACACCAAAAAAAAAATAAAAAATTACACAGACGAGACCAAACTTGGCAATGAACATATCTGATGCATCACACACCATGCATATATGAATTCATGATATCTCTCAATTCCTTAAAATGAGAAATCGCCAGACTTTTTTGTGGGTTGAATGAGTAGGTTGCATGATATCTCAGCTCTTTAGAGCGAAGTAACCACAAAGTTACAAGCATCAATCATCAAATCTGGCAAATATTCATGCACACCCCTCAGAAATAGTAAATGGCCGTTCTTCAGCTGCTGCATCCTTTGATGCTTCCTGTTGCACGAGCTGAGTTGCAAACTGGGATAGTTTGCAAAAATGCCTTGCCTAGTCGTCACTATTTGATTCTTTCTTTTCCTCGTGATTTTTGTCCAGGGCAAAGATTAACAACCTAAGAAGGGCGTTACTTTGAGACTAAGAATGTAAGATGTGATTACATTATTGGATTGTCATAATGACCAAAACATTTGGGAAGTAGGAAATAAACTCAGCTATTCTCTGGCTGCAACCTTGAAATTGGAAGTGGGGTCTTTATTTGGGTGATTTGGTTAGAAATGAATGCAAGATTGTTTGTAAATAAGTATGAGCGGGTTGATGGGTTATGGAACCGTATCTATTTTTTGGCATCTTTTTGGGCATCAATTTTAAATGGTTTTGCTCCAGTTCCTCGTTTTGCTATTGTGGCAAGTTGGTAGGCGACATGTGCATGACCTGCTTTGTTTTTTCTTGATTGTGACTCTCTGTAGAGCTGCAGTTTTGTGAGTGGTATATGGACACCTTGTCCGTATTACCATTTTGTTCCATATTTTTTGTTTACATCAATAAAATTGTTGTCTTTATAAAAAAAAGAAATTGGGAGTGGGGTTCTGCTTTATATATGCCAAAGCTTAATAACAATTTGTTTGATACGGAAAATAAAATATATTTACTCTTTTCCCATAACTTAACCACAGATCCTATCACAGTCTGTAGAAGATCATTCCCCCCTCCCCCCACTCTCCAAAAAATAAGAAAAATAAAAAAACCCTCCATTTAGGTTGTTCCTTTCAGATTTTCCACCATTTCCCACCTTTACATCTCCCAAGCTGTGGATTCATAATTCTCAATTAGTATAATTAGGTTGATTCGCTTGAGACCCTTGCAACCCACCCAACTCAAGGGCTGGTGACAATAGAGATCAAAAGGTGGAAAAACTTGTATGTAATCTACCTTGACTGCTAGCTTGGCCCATACTAAAGTTGCATGCAGAATTTGTCAATGGCAGACATAGATATAGTAGGCTAGTTATATGAACTAATTTTTTTTTTTTCCCAATTCTAAACAAGGAGTTTCCCTTCATTTGAAGTTGAGAATGTACAAAATTGGTGGACAAGAATTCCCACCATAACACAAAAGAAAACTAGAATATGAAGTCCATCACTCACAACAACTTTGCAATTACATTGTAGTGTGGTCTGCTAAGTTGGCTGGCTTTGGAATCACTCAATTTTGTCGTACTTGTCCCTTTTTTGTAACTTTTGTACTCATGTTTTCCCTATTGCATATGTTTTCTTTTATTACATTTATTCTAGGTTTTATATGACAACTACTGGAGATGCTTCCCTTTTTGATGTTAGATTCCTTGATAGCTCAGTGTCTTTTTCTTTTTCTTTCTTTTTAATGAACAGTGGTGCTTAACAAGGAATCATGAATCCTTCTCTCTATCTCTTTGCAGGAAGCATATCAAACATGGCGGAAAGCTTTTTCTATGTATCCATGGTCTCTAGTTATACGAGTTAAAAGATGTTGGGATAAGCTAAAGGACTGGCTGGCAATAAATTTCCCTGAGGCTTTGGCTACCCTACGTACGGGTGCATCCGAGGATAATATAAAGGAGTTGGAAACATGTTTGAAAGTAAAACTGCCTCTTCCGACCAGGGTCCTCTATCGGATTTGTGATGGTCAAGAACTGACATTTGAACAGTATCGTGGAAGTTTGGTGGGTCTCATAGGAGGCTACTCTTTTTATGATCACCTAGTTAATGTGTCATTGTTGCCTTTAAGTCAGGTGATAATAGATACAAAGGATGTTATACGTCATCTTGGATTTAACAGCAGATCCAAGTACATTGTTGTGGCAGCTTCCTCCACTTACAATGAAAAGATTTTCTTCCTCAACTGTGCCAATGGTCAGCTTTATGTTGGTACCAGGAATCTTACAACTGACAGGGAAATGCTTCCCTGTGTACCAAATTCACTGATAAACTTGGTGCATGATTATAGGGGCAGTCAACAGCAGGATGCCATGCTATTATGGCTAGAAGAACATGGCCGTCGCATGCAAAATAGCCTAATTAAAGTCCATGAGGAAGGAAAAATCAGAAGCATCAGTCTGTTCCCAGAACAACCTCCCCTGTGTTCTACTGCAGTAACTAACAATGTTCGGGTAATCACTGGCGTTATATTTGACATCCTTTACTAGCATTTTTCATAGTTACTGTAGCTAAGGGAGTATTGCCTTTGTATTGAGACTTATTATGTAGTGAGATGACAGATGCACTTTTTCCCTATTAACCTTTGGATTTCCAAATTTAAAAGCTTACCTGGGGTTCCAGCAAAAACCTATTAAGCACTGTACATCAGAGTCGGCTGTCTCGAAACCAATTTAGCAGTAGGGATGGCACGTATTTCTACTAGGCAGTTGTACTGCCTAATTTTGAAGTGTGAGGGGTTGCTCTTTAGCTGGGGTTGAACCCAGCAGGGTGTTGTGTTGGTGTTGCACTCTCTTTATGTATGTTTTGGAGGATCGGGAGCTTAAAGTCCATGATCAATATGCCATATCATTATTGGTCCATGTCCTCAAATTTTATGCCTAGAACAACCTCTATCTGTTTAGCATATGTATGGCTGCTGCTAGGAAATGGCTAACTTTTGGATATAAACGTTTCTTTATGTTAAGAATATAGGACTTCTGAGACCAAAAATAATTATGCAAAACTTATTGTGCAATTTTTGCAAGTGACCATATGACTCATCTGCCAAGGCACCTCCTGCATGGTCTCTCTTCAGTCTAGATTATAGGATTATGAAATTTTATACCTGGCCTCAGGTCGAATTCTCTAGCATTTGAGTAACCATTTTGAATAGATGATAAAAAACTCCTGTTTTGTTGAAGTTTTGGTAGTTTTCAGCTCGAGAATGGTTTTGAAGGCCGTTTATGTGACAATAAAAAGCTTCAAAAGACAATTTCCATGTGTTAGGAGTTGGGGTTGCCAAACTCTCTGAAAAAATGCCCATAACTTGATTGTGGTTGATATTCGGATTCTCTCTCACTTGGTGAAGATTTAGAGATTTCAAATGGTAGCCCAAGATTGGGTCATTGGTCAGTTTTATAATTCTTTTTACATTATTATGTAGTGATCAAGTATTTTTTCTTTCCCTACTTGCAAGAATCTTATTGTCCTGTACTTGTTATGACTCTTGCATTTTCAGGTCGCATAATAATATTTAGAGGTCCTCCTGTATAGCAGCAGAGCTTTATACGATGCTAGAATTTTATATCTAGTCATTTGTCTCAATTTTAAGCAATTTTCTTGTAAGTCTTAGGTTTTCTGAGTACTTAGAGGTTGTGATTTGGAAATCTTGTCGAACCCTTTGTAATCTCTTTGTATCATTGAGGGAGTTTTGTAGAGAATGAGAATGTGAGCGCAGGATAGTGGATCCTTTAACTTCTTCAGTTAATTACACTACTATTGTTGTCACCAGCAATTTCGCTCTTTTGTTTGTTCACTACTACTGGTGCATTATCTTTGATATGGTTTTTAAAATTGAGATATTTCAGGTTCGTGCTTCGGCTGTGCTCGTGCCGGAATACACTAACCTTCAACATGAGTTTGAAAAGTTTTTGTTTGCTTACTCAATCCGCATCTCTCTTTTACCGGAGGGCTGTGTCATTAATGGAATACCCTTCAATTCTTGCCAACTTTACTGGAGACACTGGATTATCCGTGCTAATGATGCTGTTGTATCAGATGTCAAGGGAGAAGCTGTGATAGGAAAGGTAGGCCCTTTCTTCATCATCTTATTGTTACTGGTGGCAATTTCTGTATTTGGTAGGCAGTTGAGCTTTTGCAAGTGGCAACTTTTGTTTCTGCTTCTCATGATTCAAATGATATTCCATACTTCATCAAATAGGTAATTTTGACTTTGTGTTGATCAGCTCTATGCCCTCAAAGGCTGCTATTTGTCCCAACCACCCTATGTTCCTTGGAATAAAGCACCCTTTCCAACTGCTCGTCAAGTTCCCTATGACAATTTCATTACCCAAATAACTTGGGAAAAGATAATAGAAGGCACCCCAACTCTCTGGGTACCCCACTTGCGGCAATAGATTATTAACACTCTCCACTACAGAAATTCTGAAGAAAATTAATCCTATGCTTCAAGCTGGCAATTATGAGAGTAGCTTATGCGCGTGTTGTGCAGATAAAAATGTCCCCTCCAGAGTCCTTTTCATATAGTGCCTTTTCATGAAAAGGTCAAATGTAATTGGCCCCTAGGCAGTGTATAGAATGACTGCAAATAATTACTTTGTTATTGGCCCCTTTTTGTCTGGTGGAATCCCCATATAACTAACCCAGTTAAAATTCAATTAATCAAATATTAGGGTTTAAATTTAGGAGGGAGAGAAAGAAGAAAAGAGAAAAAAAGGAGAGGGATTGAGGAAAAATAATGTGTGTGAGAGCTAATGTTACTTTACACCTTATTTATGGCATATAAGTAAATTACAATATTACTCAACACCACTAACAATAAATAAGAACTCTAATCATGGTTCAAAGTCGCGGTATCGGTCATTAGCTTGGAGGGCACTGATACACAACGGTTGCACTGTCATGGTGCAATATCGATCGATACGCTCAAAACGCTAGATAGAAACTCTAAAAAAATTTGAAAAAATCATAAAAAATTCTAAAAAATATAAACATCATCATTCATGTATCATATGTCCACAATAAATTCAAAAACATAGTAAACATAATTAAAATGAAACATAAGAGCGTTATTGAAAACATTGATCATTATCAATGTTCAACTTATTGAAATTGAAATATTGATATATCTAATTATTACATTAGATTTAAAAAGTACCGATGTTTTTTAGGATTAAAAAATATTGATATTTTTTATTTTTAAAAAATATTGATGTATCTAATTATTACATTAAATATTTGATATTATTTACAATTTTTTAAGAAAAATTTGAATTTTTATTTTTGATTTTATTTCAATAAATAATACAATAGATCATGAATTTTAATTGTACAATTTAAAATATTTGATATTCTATCTTTAATTGAAGTATTTTTGGTTTAAGTATAACATTTTAAACTTAAGAGGTCTAAGTAATAAATGTTTACAAACTTCAGGGGTTCTGAATGTAATTTATTAACAGAAATATTTATAGCATGGTCTATGTGTCATGCGCGTACAAACTTTAGGGGGTCTATGTGTAATATTTCAAATATTAAGGATATAAGTGATTAAGTGACAAACCTCAAGAGGTGTGAGTGTAATTCTCCCAAAAACAATTGAGTCACCGACAACACAGAGTCTTTAAAAGACTTTGTTTGAGACTTGGGTCCTTCAGAGTTCAGATGTTGTGTATTTAGAGAGAGAGAAGAATCTGAGAGTAGATTTGAAGAACTCATCGACGACACTAGAAGACGACTAGGGCTGGAGTTGTTGGGTTGGTCTTCTACAATTCTACTTCTCTATCTATTGTGCCTGGTTCGCAACAAAGAAGATCATGAAAAAAAATAGAAAAAGAAGAAAAAAAAAGAAGATGAAGCGGCATGGGGATCTCTCTGATCTGTATTCAATTCTATAGGTATGTCATACAAATGCTTACAATCTTTGTGGCAGTGAGTTTTTGATTTTTAGATTGGTTGAGGGCTGTTAACCTTTTACAGATGTGGGTCTTGAAGTTCTTCATCTTTTTCCTTTTTATTTAGGATTCTTGCTAGTTTTGTTTGAGATTTTAAGGATTTTCCACGGGATTCAATCATACCGGACCGATTCCACTATAAATCGTCCGATTCATACCGAGTTGCTCCGATTTGTGCCCATACGTCCAAGTCTGACCGAGATATCGCCGAGTCGAGTAAAAATCGAGATTTTTGCATAACGTGTATCGAAATCGAATCGGTAGGGATCGAGTCGTATCGGACTCGGCCGATTCTTTGAACCATGACTCTAATACTCCCCCTCAAGGTGAAACATAAAAGATAAAAAATGCGCAATTTAGAGCGAAGATTATTAAAGACATATAGAGCCAATGGTGTCGTAAGAATGTCACCCAGCTGATCACCAGACTTGATGTATGGTGTGATAATTTCCTTATGCATCAAGGTATCTCGAATAAAATGGCAATCTATTTTGATGTGTTTTGTCTTCTCATAAAATACTTAATTACTGACCATTAAAATAGCTACCTGGTTATCACATTGTATCTCTATAGGACAAGGCACATTGACACCCATTTCATGAAGGAGAGAATGAACTCACAACAATTCACACGAAGTATGTGCCATAGTCTTATATTCAGCCTCTGCACTCAAACGGACAAACCACATTCTGTTTTTTATTAGGTCAATTAACAAGTTTACCACCAATGAACTGTGACTACTTGTCCAATTAGCATCAGAGAAGCTAGTAACAATCATGAATGATGAAGGATGATATAATAATCCTCTTCCTGGTGCTCTTTTTAGATACCGAAGAAAACAATAGACAACTTTCCAACGAGGCTTACGAAACGCGTGCATGAACTGACCAAATACACCAACAACATAGATAATATAAGGGCGTGTAACTATAAGTTAAATCAATTTATCAACCAACCTCCGATGACGTCCTATATCATTAAAAACTAAACCACTCACTATCTAACTTAACTATAGAGTTCATAGGAGTATCACTTGGATTGAGACGTGCACCAATAGTCCCAGTCTCAGATAATAACTCCAATACATATTTTTGTTGTCACAAACTGATACCTTCTTTCGATCGTGTAACCTCGATCCCAAGAAAGTATCGAAGAATACTAAATCTTTGGTATGAAACTACTTCTCAAAATGGTCCTTGATACCTTCTTTCGATCGTGCAATCTCGATTCTAAGAAAGTATCGAAGAATACTTAAATCTTTTGTATGAAACTACTTCCCCAAATGGATCTTGAACTGGGCAATGCCATCAAAGTCGTCACCGCTAATAATAAAATCATCAACATACACGATAAGAATAATAACACTTGTGGAAGAATGACGAATAAAAACTAAATAGTCTGAAGTAGAACTCTGAAACCCATATTGAAGTACAACAATACTAAACTTATCAAACCAAGTACGTGGTGATTGTTTCAGGCCATATAGTGTTTTTTTCAGACGACACACTAACTTTTTATTACTAGACACAACATAACCTGGAGGTTGTGCCATATATACATCTTCTTGTAGGTCTCCATATAAAAAAACATTCTTAATGTCTAGTTGATCCAAAGGCTAATTACAACTCACTGCAAAAAAGGCAACCGGAGAAAAAGTCTCACAGTAATTCATACCATGTCTAGGTATAACCTTTGGCAACTAGACGGGCTTTCAAATGCTTAATTGAACCATCAAGATGATACTTCACTATGTAGATCCAATGACAACTAGCAGACTGTTAAGGTCCCATATCTGATTCTCATTAAGGCCTTTCATTTCCTCATCCATAGCCATTTTTCAACCAGGAGATGACAATGCTTGTTTCAAAGAACTAGGAACAATTATTGAAGACAAAGTCAATGAAAAACAACAAAAGAATGGTGAAAGCCTGTGCAAAGAAACAAAATTAAAAATTGGATGCTTTGTAAAGTTACGGGTATCTTTCCTCAATGTAATAGACAAATTAGAAGATGATGCTCAGGGGGCAAAAACTCAATAGAATTAGGTGATGGAGGATTTGGAGCATATGGAACAACCTAACTAACAAAGATTGAATCTGGTGAAAGTGTATCGTTTGACACAGAAAAGAATGAAGATGACCAAAAAAAAGGTTACATCAACACTGACATAGTATCGACGAGAAACAGGGTCATAACAATGGTAACCTTTCTGAATATGAGAATATTCTAAAAAAATACACTTGACTGAGTAAGGAGAAAGTTTATTCCGACTCGGATTATGGAGATGAACAAATAAAACACAATCAAAGACACGAGAAGTGAGACCAAATCACGGTTTATCAAGATAGAGTAATGAGAAAGGAGACTTGTTGTTTAAAACGGGGGAAGGCATGCGATTTATAAGATAAACTGTAGTAAGAATATCATCTGCCAAATATGATTTTGGCACATGCATGTTAAACATTATGGTACGAGCACCAGTCAATAAATGACGATGCTTACATTTAGTAACACCATTTTTGTGGTGAGGTATGTGGACAAGTGGTTTGATAGATAATGCCATGGTCAGCACAAACGGTTTTTATAAACGTTTGAGTATACTTCAGAGCATGGCTAGACTGAAGAACTTTAATACGTGTATCCAACTGAACCAGGATTTCATTGTAAAAAATGGTAAACATTTAGGCAATTCAGATCAGTCTTTCATAAGAAATAACCAAGTCATACGAGAGAAAATCATTAACAAAGATTACAAACTATTGAAACCCAAAAACACTTTTGACTCCTGCAAAACCCCAAATGTCTGTATGAACAACATGGGAAGGACGAGACTGACAACTTGAAGAATTAGGAGGAAGGAACTACGGTGATGCTTGCCTAATTGACAAGCTTCACATTCTATCACAGACAAAGAACTCAAACCAAAGATAACTTGATGTAATTTTTGCAAGAAGGGATAACCTAGTCGAAAGTCCCACTGAAGAGGAGACACGATAACACTTAGGGCAGAAGCAGAAAAAAATAGTAAAGGTCATTATGCTCATGTCCCAAACTAATTTTTTGTCTTAAAAAATACAAGAAGATGGACAGAATGTCACTGAACATTGTAAAGACTTAGTTAATTGTAATTGACTCAGATAACAAGTTAAAAGGAAAATTAGGAACACACAAACTAGAAGTTAATAACAAAGACTGCGTAGGAAGAGATCGCCAGTCGCATCTACTAGTTAAAAAGAATCATCTGCTAACACAATTCGTGAGTTAGACGAATGAAAATTAGAGAATAGTGAAGAAATACCAGACGTATGAGCACTAGCTCATGAATCAATAATCAAAGATGATGGAGAGGGTGGCTCAACCACACACGCAAAATTACCTCCATCAGCAAGATCGTAGGAATAGATAAATGTGTTGATAAGGAAGATAACTGTTGGATGAGTTGCCGAAGCTAGTAAGAAGGATCATCATAAGAATCAGTAATAGATGCAATTGGACCACCGGTAGAAGGCTGACGTACTAGAGATCCCGAAATATCAGTAGAAATCTTGGTTACGAAATGTAGGTCTCCCATACCTATCCCAACAAGAATTCGTAGTATGTCCGATGCCACCACAATAAGTACACCTTCAACTAGAACGAATACGACGGCTAACACGACCACCGCAACTACTATATCCTGTGCATAGACCATTATGACCGACATTATGGCGCGGATCTCGACTTCCACTGTGAAGACCACCATTCAAAGTCACTATTTAAAAAAACAAGGGTTCGCAATCTCACAAACAAGTTACAAACCACACACCCCAGCTGAGAATACCCAAATCAATTTCAAAGAGTGAAAATCACAACCCAAATGCAAATCTGGGTTAAGAACACTCATTGAAATGGTAGAAAACAAGCTAGCACATCAAGCAACCCCACAAGACTTCGAAAAAACAAATAAAATAAACCAGAAACCAGTTAAAAAAAAATTGAACCGATCGGAAAAGATGGTGAACAAACTTAGAAATGCACTGAACCGCTAAGAAATCCACTAAACTGGGTGAGGAACCCATTGAACCGGTTTAAAAACTAATGAACCATTTGAAAACCTATTGAATTGAGATCATTAATGGCTAAAAATATCTCAGTGGCAGTTGAACTGGTTTGAGAATGAAGTGGGTAGAGGAAAATAGGTAGAACAGACTTGAAACGAATAAGAACCGGTCTATAATTTCCTGAATTGGCATGAACCTGATGAGAATCGGTCTGTTCGAACTTGAACTGGTTAAGGTTGGGTTCGGTTTAATTAACTGACCTAGGTTGGACCCAGATTGTAGTTGGGTTGGTTTGTCTTTGAAAAAAGTTTTCTTTAACCTTTTTTTTAATAACCTGAAACACAGACCCAATGGGTCGGATCTCTTCATAAACCGAAGTTGCCTCCTGTTCATCGTCTTCCTCGCAATGGACGAATCGTTGTGCTGCAAAACAAACCCTAGCTTCAGGTGGTGCACGTCGAGGACTCAACTCCAACAAAGTCCAACTTCGATAACATCGGAAACACACACTAGTAACACCTTTGGCAACGTAACGCACAATTGATCACCAAAAAAAAAAAAAGGAGCACACGACCACTATTCTCACATCTGAACAAATTCTCCCGGTTCACACATTTGAGCACACGACCACCATAGACTAAAATTTAATAATCAATACCAGAATAAAAATTGCTCTGATATTAAGTTAAGATTCAATTAATCAAATATTAGAGCTTAAATTTAGGAGGGAGAGAAAGAAGAGAACAG